GGCTCACCCACAAGTTTGCTCCATATTGAATCCTCTTCCAAAGAGATTGTAAAAAAAAAAAAAAAACAATCTTCAGAGTTCTGGGAAGGGGGAGACAGCTTGTGTAAGTTACGATTTGGCTCCTTCAAAGAGTCACTGTGTTTGCCCATTTCCTCTCTTAACTAACGTAAGAAGTTGCTTATTACTGATTTATTAGAAATTAAGAATCTTCCAAAGTCAGGATTTTATCACACTGGGAGAATCTCATTCTGCCTTAGATGAAAGAAGCAGCTTCATATAAATCTAAAAATTAGAAAGCTTTAATTTTTGGAAAATCGCAAAAGAGGAACTATAATGTGGATTTTGGAAAGTTAAGGATCTAGGTAGATATTTCCTATGAGGAATTTAAAATTTTATAAATAAACGTATAAAGAACTTAAAATTGAAATTAATGTAAGAAATTCTCCTGTGGGAGTTTTGCTGATTGGAAAATAAAAAGATGATTAGAAGGGACTTTGAAAGTTGACTAGAGGGAACTAGACAGAATTAAATATAATTAAAGGGGAAGTAATCCAGTAATGGAGCAATACTATTTGACTATAGAAGAAATTAAGGCTATTTAGGAACAACGTATTCAGAAACTACTTGCTTGATACTATAATACAGGATATAAAAGAACGACAAATTCTATTGAATAAAAAAGAGGCTGAGGCTGATTTGAATCTGGATTTGAACTTTTAAAAAAGCCATATTACGAAAGTGACATAGAAGAGATGACATGATGGATTTACAATGTCTTTAATTATTAATGGGATATACAAATAATCAGGAGAATGATTTGGAAAATTTTTTTTTAATCTTGGATTTACAAAAAGGATGTGTTAAACTACTGAAGCCATTCCTAAAAGAAGACAAAGAGAAAATGATAAGAAATCAACATATAGGATTTTATTTGACAGGATTAAAGAGCAAGGTTTTTAAAAGTAAGCAGGACTATAAAGTGAAATTTGACAGAGAGTAAAATATGTATGTTGTGGTTTCTGATAGCTATTAATGAGATTTCTTTTGGGCCAGGACCAAATGACAAGGCTTTAAAGATCTGTTTATAAGTGGGAAGAGATTTATTTTATTTCTTAAAGTGATTGGATTATAAAATGGATTTGTTTGAAGGTTAAAATCTGTGTCTTACTATTTCTGGTAGCCCTCAGTAGACTTTTGTTGATTAGTACTGAAAGATGTGTTTTTACAAATTGATTACTGACAAGGGAGTAAGGTGTTTTTTAATTGAAATATTAGAGAAGGTGTTACTGAAATGGTTTATACTTGTCTGGAGGGTGAAGGAGCCATCTTTTATATATATTTTTCTATCTCTTTGCATCTTTTTTGTTACTTTTTATACTTTTCTGTTTGTAGTAGTGCTTTATCTTTGGATTTATAAACTTGAATAAAATTATTTTGACTCTGACTGTTCTGTTAACTTCAAAACTGAGCCAACCCTTTATCCCTATCCATTATTGTCCTAATGCTATCCATTAGGTATTTAATTCCTTGGGGACTGGTTATCAGATACTGACATTTTCCCAACATGTTTAATGCTCTCTGGTTATGTTGGAAATAGTATTTTGTCTTTATGATTTCCTAATGCCTTTGTAATAATAAGCCCCTCCCCTCCTCACAGACATCATCTGGCTTTTTTAAGGAGGTTCTTCGTGATATTAGGAATGTGTTAGTAACACCTCCAGCTGATTGCTAGGGTTTGAAGATACTTTATTTTCTAGTCTTGTGTAAACTGCTTCGTTTGACACACATCTTTTTTTAAGGTAATGGTAGAGCAGAATATTAGGGAGGGCCTCTTTCCCCTGGGAAAGTTGTGGATGAAGTTGGAGTTGGCATTTGAAACTGACTTATTTTTCTCCAAGAAGGATGCAGGGAATCAGTTCTTAAATACAGTATACTCAACCTGGAAGCACATTTAAGCCTGCCCCTTAAGTGGGTATTAATCATATTTCCCTTTTGCTTTTGAGAAATGTGTAGGGATGGTAAAATACCTGGAATCACCATTTCAAAGCACTAACGGATGCATTCCTGTTCAGAGGATAAATGGAGTTTGGATTTGAGTCTTCCACCTCCACTTCAGAAGAGCTAGTCTTCTCACCTCTTTTTGTTTCTCGTTCTGCCTAACACACTCAACAACCACTCCTCACTCTTCCTTGTCTTGCGATCTTCAAACCAACAAATCTTCCAGTGCCTGTTTTCTCCAGTTTCAAACCACTTAGCTGTTCCATCTCCGCCAAATTTTCCATTTTTTCCCCTTGTTCAATCCAGTTCATCTCATTCTGCCAACCCAAATTTCCCCTCCATGTTTCACCTCTTCCTTTCATTTTGGTCTTGCCCTCTGGGACAAGGAGGAATCATTTTTATTTTTTTATTTTCATTCTTTTATTTTAGAAATTCATCTCCAGGTTCTAAAATGTTTAACTTCACAGTATATACAAGTCCGCAGCTGCTGTTGTGTTAGTATGATTGATATAAAGGAATTTCTTTATGGCTGATTTCCTAGCATGTTCATATGTGGTCCATATTAAAAGGCTTCTGTCACATTGTAAGGTCACCATTATTAATGTTTAAATTATAAGGAGGGATTGGCTGGTTTGTGATGGTCATTAATACAATATTATGTGTTGTGAATCCTGCCTGCACATAGAATGAACTGTGATATTAATTAGAACTTTGACAAGTCTTCTCTGATAAAATGACGAGATTATTCGTAATTGATGTCACAATCAATTACCATTTACTTCATCAGAAGCTTACTAACTGGTCTAGCCTTAGTGCTGGCCCCAGGATGTTGATGAGTGTGTGGCTGCCCTGCTCGTGCTATTACTGTGACATAGAGCAAGATTTTCAGTCAACATCCTAAATTAACTCTTTTAAAGTCTATTAAATAAATGAATGTTACACTGGCCCAACCTAACATCTCCATTTGAAGATTTTTGTCTGTGTTGCAGTGTTTTGGGGAGCCTATGACAGTATTTATTAGGTTTTCTCCCCCTGAATTTAAAAGTGTAAAATTATTCATTTACTGCAATCATATAAAGGATGAAACTAGGCTGTATTAATTGCACTGCTTTTCACCTACATATTTGTTCTTTAATTTTAATATTTCTCAGGTACCTAAAGGACATGTTTGGTTAGAAGGTGATAATCTCAGGAATTCTACAGATTCCAGGTGTTATGGTCCTGTTCCATATGGATTGATAAGAGGACGAATTTGCTTTAAGGTATATTCCTGCAATCTAAAATGTGTTAATTTAACAGTTGTTATAGTCTTTGGGCTTAAGCTATGACAATGAGACATGTTCATTAGCTAGTGAAACACAGGGACCAGGGTGTTAAAATGTTACAAAGAACATGATCTTCTTAAACAAGATTGTGTTTAAGCCTTTACAAAGTATTAGTTAAGTATCTACCTATATAAAAATATGCGCGCGCGCACACACACACACACACACAAAATCTCTCTCCTTCTCTCAACAATCCTTTGTTTGATTTCCTTTTTTCACATATAAAAACAGCAGTATGTTGAACCATCATTTTTTTTATTTTGCAGCAAATATAACAATACTAAATAAACTAGTTTGGATCCAACAATTCACACAATGGGGCTTCCCTTCCTGCTTCCCAAATATTACAATGTCTTCCTTGGTAGCATATATGATACGATATGTAGAAAATTGGTGACCTGCCTTATGCACAAGGGGGCGGGCTTTTTCATTTCCACAACAGGTACTAAAATACTACTCATTCCACACCTTCAGCGGCCCCACTGCTTGCTTCTCTTCAGTTATTCCTACTGGCTATTGCTTTTCTTTTAACCAGTTATTGATTCCTAAGAGGACCTGAACTCTAATTCCTTGTTTGCTTAGTTGATTCAGAAATCCTCAGCGAGGGATTTGCTAAAAGCTTTTCAGAAATCGAAGTATAAAATCTTCTAGATCAATATTTACATGCTCACAGTGTCAAATAACATAAATGGCTGTAGTATAAGGCTTTTCCTTATAGAAGCCCTCCTTTTCTTCCTCAATATCAAGCGTGTGTAACATGCTTTTAGTGTGATTGATCATTTTATAAAAATGGTTTTATGCCATTCCCCCATAAACAGAAGACTTAATGATAGATATAGTTTTAAAAATTATTTCAGCTTCCTGCCTCAGCCTGGGTGTATTCCATCTGTATTGTTTCTTATGCAATTGTAGTTTGCTGGTTAACTCTCATATCTCATAATATTTATTCACAATTCACCTATTTCTTTTAGATGAGTGTCTGCCTAAAGAGTACCAATGATTTTTTGATGTATGCAGAAAGAAAACAAATCCTCCATAACAGTCATATATACATCTTAAAGTAATGAGAATTGGCCATACATATGCACATTATCTTTAACAATTAAAATGTTTAGCTTGAACAGAAAAAACACGAGAATATTAAACCAATATAAACATTCTAATTTTCTAAACAATCTTAATATATCATCTGAAATCTTCATCAATCACCATCGAGTATGTATTTTTGCCATGACATGTATCCAGAGAAGCACTAGAGATTCAAACTATAATTCATTCCAGATAATTCCAAATATTTTACTTATTAAATAAACATATTTCATTCCAGAAATTTTCCAACAGTGTGGTTTAACTGAAGAGCATATGTAAGTCTTATCTGTGCTACTAGCCTGTTTAAAATGTTCAGTTTACTGCATTAAACACTTCAGTTGAAATAGAGAAAAGCTAAAGGATAACTGATGCTCAGTATGTTAAGTAGTTGTTTATTTTATTTCGCAGCTTTGGCCTTTGACGGATTTTGGGTTTCTGCGTTCAAGTCCCAACAGTCACAGGATTTGTAAAGATTGATTTATGTTGTCATCTTTTTTTTAACCTTTCAAAAGTGATTTATATTTTTATATTCAATAAATAATGTATCATGATTCAGGATTATTTGTAATTTTTAATTCAACAGACAGCCTAAAAATTATCGTATATCTTTTCTCTGAGGATTTTCAGACACATCCAACCATTTGGAATGCAAGAATTAAACCATTTCAGATTGAGCTATTCTTTACTATTCCAGCTATTTACAATACCAGCCGCATTGATGTATTTCCTGGATGGCACATCAAATAATTTCTATAACTAATGAACATGTGTCACAATTTACTAGTGAAGCATCTTCAACTTCATTTTTGGAAACAGTGTATTTTCCACCACATCGGCACGTGAAAGAATAACACCGATCATCTGTTGAAACAAAATAAATCAGCTTCAATGATTCCTGCTTATATTGAACAGAACCTGAATTAAATATTTAAAGTAGAATAATAATTTGCATAAGAAAGGAACCTATAGTATAATTTTATATTCCCACACGGAATGAAATCAGGCAATACCACAAGAGAAAACATATTTTCAGTTGTGATTGAGAGAGAAGTTTGTAAATGCCTTGTGTAGTACAGCTGTTTGCTATTCTACAAAGCCTTCAGTTGTGGTTGAGAGACAAGTTTATAAAATGCCTTGTGTGGTATAGAGGAAAAAAACAGGGTAAAATACCTGTAGCTTAATTCACAGGTATGCTTACAATCCCTTGCATATATTTTAAAAAAATATTTTGCACTAGTAATTGAAAGATTTTCTATCAACATATCAAGTCAGTTAAATACCATATACACAATAAATCATTACAGAATGCAATTTGCTGTATACCAAAACCGTATCAAAGCTGGGACAGTAAAGAGCAATCAAAATGCACTAGTTTGTTATGACTAGAAAAGAATAATGAAGGGCAGTGACGCAATTATCAAGAACTCTTTCTTTTTACAAACAGTAAATCTAAATTACTTAAAAGTACTTCATACTACACAAACATTTAACTGATAGAATTTGCGCCAACAGGATGAGGTAATAATTATTGGTACGGATGCTTTTAATAGAAAGTTAGACAATGCAATGAATGTAATTTCTAACGCCTTCTGATTGACTTCATTTCTAAACAGAATAATCAGTTTCAGGGGGTCACAAAATTCTGAATACAAGTTTCTGGGGTGTAAACAAACAGCTGTTACCTCTACGACCAGCTTCTTGTTTGCTATTCTGGCAGTGCTCATTTATACATTAATATTTCAGTTCACATATCAGGTGGCTTCACATAGCTTACTGTGATTCCAGGTCATATCTTCAAGTGAAATCTGAGTATCCACTGGACATCCTTGTTCTAACTCATATTCTATGAGAAAACAGAAAGACATCATTTTCAGCAACATTATGTAAGATAAAAACTGTAAGTTCACCACAACATGCTGATTTATTTTCTGTTTTTTATTCATGAGCTTAAGAGGGCAAACACAATGTTTTCTCTCCATAACAACTACTCTGTAAGGTAGGTTGGACTGAGAAAGAGACTGGCTCTGTGGTTAAGAATGGATGAGAACACAGTTCCAGGAAGTGAATGCAGTTCTGTTGAATTTAGCTTTAAATCATTTCTCCGAGAACTGCTCATGCTTTTGATACATAAATCTCAACATCCCCATTCAATTATTTTTCTCCTGAAGCATGTTAGCACACTTTAGCATTTGTATGCTTCTCCTTCTAGCTATCATCAGGAAGAATACATTTTTATTCTAGATATTACATAAAATCAAAACAATGATGAAAAATATTTCTACCAAGACACAACATTGTAAGCATGTGAGATGTTTCCAACCACTGTATGCAGGTAAGTCTAAAAAAGATAGGATATTTTTTATTAAACTGTCTTGTTTAATATTTTTCATTTCTCATCAAATGTTTATCTTTTTTTTTTTTTTAAAGAGCAGATATATGTGCTTTCACAAATCTTTTTCTGGTTGCCAGCTCACACATCTATCTGATTACACTGCTGAACACTGGTGGTGCAAATTATGTTAAGCCTTTATATCCAAAACTGAAAGACCCCTTCTCTCAAGAATACTTAAACTGGGTGGGTGGGGGAGTCAACAATCCACTAAAGTAGAATCTCAGCTAATTCAGGTAAATCCAATGAATCAACATTTGTTTTGTTGAAAAACAAAAGTTTCTTCTCACACTTGGATGGGGGGGAGAGAATGTACCATCTTGGAGATGTGCCCACCTGACTCTTTGACATGAGCTTTGGCAGTTAGCATTTGAGAAGCTTTGATGGCTTCCAGATGTTCTGCTCTGCACGTAATCCAGTGTAAGATCTTCTGGTTGAAGTTAAGATCTGGGGAACATCTGGCTTGGTCTTTACAGATAGTCCTTGACTTATGACCACAATTGAGCCCAAAATTTATGTTGGTAAGCAAGATAGTTGTTAAATGAATTTTGCCTCATTTTACAATGTTTCTTGCCAGAGTTTAATGTGAATCACTGCAGTTGTTAATAACATGGTTGCTAAGTGAATCTGACTTTGCCATTGACTTGCTTGCAAAAGATGATGACATGACCCTGGGACACTACAACTATCATAAATATAAGTCAACTGCCAAAGATCTGATTTTTGATCATGCTGCAACAGTCCTTTTCAATGCCATTGTAACTTCAAACAGTCTCTAAATGAACTGTTGTAAGTCCAGGGCTATCTGTACTACTATCCCTACTGCATAGCATCATCACTGCCTAAGTAATGGTATTGGGTTAGCTGTTGTGTCTCCTAGATTGTTAGATCTCGAGCACTTGAACTTCACTTTGAGTGACATAGAATCTAGGGCAATTCAAGAGTTCGTGACTTATCGTGATATTGACTCAAGTTGTCAACCCACATGGGGATTCACAGATGTATTTTTTGTCTCAGGCAGTTGTGTTGTGATCTGGGAGTGGCCATTAACATCAATACCTTATTATGGTTGGATCATTCTCTCATTGTTTTTGGTTTGGCTGTTGCTATCTCACCCTGCATAGTGACAGGGCTTGCTACATTGGTCCACTCCAGATGCCAAGGATCTGGTAAGCAGTTGGCCCAAGACTTTAGTAACATCCTGGGAAAGGCACATGATGAGGGCCTTGGATCAGATTGTTTCTATACAGTCTCTTGCTGTTTGTTAATCTCGGGTGCTTCTTGGTTTTCAAGGAGTTCCAGGAGATGAACTTGTGGAATGGACATACAGTATATAAAACCATTGGAGGAAAAAGAAAGTAAACTAGACCAAGCATGAATAAGAGTCCATGCCAGCAATTATATTTCAGTTATAAGAGCATTTCCATCCTTTCCATCATTAGAATTAGATTCCCACGGTTGTGAAGATTGGGCCCCCTTCCCCCCCCAATTTTAGTTTAAAGCCTTTTTGATAAGATGAAGTTATAAGAGCGGCCAAACATAGTTAATTCTTTAAACCTTAAATTTGCAAATACTTATGCAGCAGCCTTCTTTAAGATGACTCATTCCTTGCTGGTGAGAGGGGCAAGCCACAGGTTCATCTGCATGGCCACTAGGAGAATATTCTGCCATCAAGAGCTCTGGTGGCACAGTAGTTAGAATGCACTATTGCAGGCTAACTGCCCACAGCTTGGAGTTCGATCCTGAAGAGGCTCAAGGTTCTCTCAGCCATCCATCCTTCCAAAGTTGGTAAAATGAAGACCTAGATTGTTGGGGGTAATATGCTTACGTTTGTAAACTTCCCAGAGAGTGCAGTAAAGCTCTATGGTGCAGTATATAAGTCTAAGTGCTATTGCTATGAAGTCCAATCTTCAACTTTTTCTTACTAGGGAAGGTTGACAAGAAGATGGTTGAGCTACAGTTCCAAAAATCCCTGGACAATCCTAAAAATCGATTGTCTGGACACTTTTCAGTTGAGTTTTAGAGCAAGACATAGTACTGAGACAGCATTCATCAGAATTATATATTTGCTATGGTAGAACCAGGATAAAGGGTGTTGCCATCATCCTCATTTTTACTGATTTATTGGCAGCTTTCAATATAACAGATCATGGTATCCTTACGGACTATCTACACTGTGTGCACAATTATTAGGCAAGTGAGTATTTTGACCTTATCATTTTCATACATATTTTCCACCTCCAACTGCATAAACTTGAATGCTTAGTGGATATACATATATCAGGTGATGTGTATTTGTATAATGAGGGAGGGTGTGGTCTAAAGAGATCAACGCCTTGTATCAAGGTGTGCATAATTATTAGGCAGCTTTTCCTCAGGGAAAATGGACCAAAAAAGAGATTTAACTGACTCTGAAAAGTCAAAAATAGTAAAAAATCTTTCAGAAGGATGCAGCAGTCTTGAAATTGCTAAGATTGGGGCGTGATCACAGAACCACCAAACATTTTGTTGCAAATAGTCAACAGGGTCATAAGAAACATGTTGAGAAAAAAAGATGCACATTAACTGCCAAAGATTTTAGAAGAATCAAACGTGAAGCTACCAGAAACTCATTATCATCCAGTGCTGTCATATTTCAAAACTGCAACCTACCTGGAGTGCCCAGAAGTACAAGGTGTTCAATGATGATTTGTTCAAAATGCTCACTTGCCCAATAATTGTGCACACAGTGTATAGGGACTAGAAGTGAAGGGATTTGACAGCAGTGGTTCTCTTTTCTCTGTGGGCAATCCTGTTGATTGACTGAAGCCCAAAGCTCCTAATCTGTGCATTGCTTCCGATCTTGATGTTCATGCTCCTTTTCTGTAACATCTACGAGGCCACTGAATGAAGTTATCTGTCAATTTCAAGTCAGTTACCATCAATTTTGCTTATTACTATAAGGATACTGCTTGATGATAGTTTATTTTTGAGAGATTTTGTTGGTTTTAACTCTCAAGTTTAACCATTTCATATTATATTTTGATTGTTACATTTGTGTTATACAATTTGTATTATAACCACAATCACAAAATGTAGTTCCTTTTTTTAAAAAAGAATCTGATAGAATCAAATAATGCTACCAAGTTCCAGCTGTTCTATCTTAGAGAAAAATACATTGACATGAACACCTCCAAACATCAATTGTGATTAATGTTCAATTTTATCTCAATAATAGATTTGCAAATCCCTTGTAACCTCAGTAAAAATGTTCTTGTTCTTAACTTACACATTCAAGATCTAAGCTTAGAGCATATGAAATTATTTTCTGGGTCACATTACCCCAGTTCTGTATTAAATACATGAAAATAATTCACCAAATGATGAACTTTGAAACCCTTGATCTAATTAATCTGAGTGCTCAATACTAAAAAAAATGTACATTTATATTACAATATCTATATAAAAATGAATCACTTCTGTATTTGAAGAAAGATTCTACAATGTTTCTCTATATTTCCTACTACATTTCCAGAAAAAACATACAACTTTGTGGATATGATTGGTCCGATCCAATATAGTTTGAACTGAAATATGTTCTTTCCAGGGCAATAAGGATTTAAAAAATATCTAGAGAGAGTATTATAGTTTATCTTTCATATTTATACATAATGTTTCTTATGCTTCAGAAAGAACAGTATGTGCTAATAGATACTAATGTGTTTTAGAAGTTTGTATGTGTATATACATACACTCATACAAAGAGAGATACATTTTCCCATGGAGATTTAGACATATAATAAAAAACCAGGTTGATGCAACAATAGTGTGTGATATTTATAAGGTAAAATAATCACAATTAAGATTAACAGCACACAAAGCACTATATAATACAAATACAAAGTGAAAAATGGGATGGTAGCTAGATAATTAACTCATAGTATCATTAACACTGGCAAATCTATTAACAAATTATTTGAGTTTTACAGTGTAATAATGGTTTTCTGACAAGATAATAGAGTAGTCTCCATAGAGGATGTTACTTTATCATTCACTGCTTTGCATTCATAATTACAATTTCATATTTTTAAGTGAACCATTAGTTTAAACTATTGGGATTCCCTGCTTCCTCAAATTAAATAATAACAACAACAACAATTATTCAGTAAGATATGCTGAATAATTTAGTTTATAGTTTAATGAATAAGTATAGATATATTAAATGTACAAGATGTATTGCGAGGATATCAAATGGATATAATATTTTAAAAGTTTAGAGATAAATATATGGAAAGGGACTACATCCAACCTAGAATCCACATTAATATAAGGAAGAAATTGAGTTAGAACATTTAATTTAATCACACAATGTTGATCAAAGCAAGAGGTTTATAAAGATTTACAATACATACATTTCACAAGAAACTGATTCACATTTAACCAAAAGCACACATGATCCTCCTGACTGAATATGA